GCCTCCTTTTCCTTCTAAGGGATTCGGAGTCGCTTTACGAGATCGGCGGAGATAATATTTCTATTACTTCCTCCGTCGATTTTCGCGACTAGGGATAACGATCCCTTCTCTTTCCTAGATCCCTATTCGTACTAGGCCTATATCTATAGCCCTCGTAAGAATCCTAGTTCCGCCTCTACTCTACTAACGATTACTTCGTCCGAGCGAGATAGTGATTGAGGTCTTTGGGTAGACCTAACCGTAGGATGCCTCTAATCCTCAGTATCGGTCCGTTCGAACGTAGGTTTTACTCGCGGTCGCCGGGCCTACTAGAGGCCCGCGAGCCGTTTCCCAAACGTTCTCTTACCTACTATAATTACTAATATAGTATTCATTCTCTTCGGGTCTTCTACTAGGGTACCTTAGGTTTATACTCGATACTTACGAGTTATCGTATTTCGTTCTTAAGGGCTAAGCGCGCGTCTCGCTCCTATTACTACCGTACGGTCCTCTAGCGAGACCTTCTAAGATATTAGCGCTAACTAGTAGTCCAAGCTATAACCTTCTAGCGCTAGTATATAGTATAGTCGATATTTTCGTACTCTCTCTAGTCGGTCTTCCTCTTCTAATAGTCCTTCTAGGAGAATAGCTTTACTACGATCTCTGAGCTACCTTCGGCTTATAGATCGGTATCCACCTCGATCTCCTCTATAAGTACGTACCGAAATACCCTAGGCATCGCCTGGTCTCTAATTCTAGCCGGAAAGTAGTCGAAATTCCACTTATATACGAGGTATATCTAATAGGTATCGTAGATATAACTTATCTAATCCACTCCCTCGTATTCAGGATATTTAGGGTCAAGTTAGAGCGCGTCTCCTACTTCGATATCCGCTTCCTCTATTATATCCTTTATAACCTTCCCTATCTTAGTATCTTCGGCGGGGCGTAAGGGTCGCCTAATCTCCTCGTAGTCCCCTTCGTCGATTTAGCTTTCCTAAGGGGCTAATCGCTAGTCCCTATATTCCTCCAGGACTACGTATTCCTCGTTTAGCTACCCTAATAAATCTATTTTCTACTAAGTTAAGTAGGCTAGAATAAGGATATCGTCCTAATACTCTTTAGGTAATTGGTTTCCTTTATCGATCCTCCTAATTAGCTCTTCCTACTCTATACGGTATCTCTCTAATCCTTTACGAAGGTCTAGGATTTCTCTAACCATAGCTTTATAGCCTTATATCTAGTCCTCTTCTTCTTCATCCGTAAACGGAGAGGGGACCTCCAATCCCTAGGCTTCTACTAGCCCGCGGGCAAGTCCCTATATACCGTAGTCGGGGAGACTTCCTATCTCGTCCTATCCTTACTCTACTCGCGAGGGTAGCCGATCGCTAGTAGGCTTAAAGGCTACTATAATATCGTCCTCTTCCTCGTCTTATAAGACTATACCCACGACCTAAGTATCGCTAAAGCGTAGCTTCTTATCTTCCGAGGGCCTCTAGTTACCCTATTTTCGTAATTAGCGGTATTTGTAAGGGGAAGGCAGGTACGCCCGATCAAGGTGGTCACAATAGAAGCAGTAGGTAGGCAGAGCAAGAAGTGGTATTGGCTAAAGACTTCAACCTGGCCCTCGCAAAGGAAGGTGGGCGAGGGCCGCATCTATATGTAGGCTCAGGGCCTTTGTTGAGGCTCCGCGGGCGTGGCGCCACGGTGTGGCGCTTGTGGCGCGGCCAGTTGTGCGTGCCTTCGAGGGCTGCGCAGCGAGGGCTGCGCAGGGCCCTTTGAGGGCCTTTGTTGCGCAGGGCCTTTGAGGCTCTGCGAGTGTGGCGCTGCCGTGTGGCGTTGGTGGCGCAGATGACACAGCGCGCATCGGCTTTGGGCCCGGGCTTCGCACAGGAAGGTGGGCGAGGGCCGGGGCCGCATGCTCGGGGGTCCTTTTCCTTACAGTATTCTCTAGCCTAGTGGCCTTTCTTACTATAGTTATTATAGGTATCGTTCTTCTTATCGCGAGGTAGGCGTAACTACTATACTAGGTTCTAAAGAAGTACTCTAACGCTTTCGTCTATTAGTCCTAGGTATATACCTAAGGTAATTAAAGATATAGCCCTCTTCTTCTTATCGTTAGGCTTATTACCCTAGCGGCTATAGTAGCCTCCTACTAGTCGTCCGTCCTTCTTTTCTCGTCGCTTCTTACTTTCGCGCTAGAACTATCGGTCATCGATATTAATTACCGCTTCGATATATTCCCGTAGTATCTCCGGGCGAGGCGTCTTATAGAGTTCGTCCTTAACGTAGTCCTTTAGGCTATCGTAGAACGTAAGTAGCTATCCCTAGACTAACTAGTTAAGGCGTAGTATATAGGTCTAGAACTCAACTATATACTCGGCCACTAAGCGAGTCTATCTCAGCCTCTTAATCTACTCTTCGGCCTTCCTCTAGATATAGCGTTCCGTAAAGAATTCGCCCATTAGCTTAAGGACTCCCTCCGCTCCCTCGTTAATATTAGCGTAGATAACGGGGTTCTTATCCTTTACTACTTACGCTAGCGCCTTCTAGTATGGTTCGAACTAAACGGCCGCTTTCCCGACGAGTCGCGTTCCGACGTACGTTACTCCATCCTTCTAGAGCGGGATTTCGTCAATGTTATACTTAATAAAGGAGAGTACTATATCCTTCCAATTTTCGAATTTATCTTTATCTCCGTCGTAAAGCTCAGGGTACGGGATCTTTAGCTTCTTCTTAGGAGGAGCCGGCGGAGGTAGAGGTAGTACCGCCCTTACTACCTCCAGTCCTATAATTCTTTCTACGGCCACTCTCATATTATGGTCGTATCTCCCTACCTACTCTCTTAGCTGGGCTAGCTCATTCTGGAGCTGCTCGTTCGTGGCTATATTATTACTTATCGAAAGGGGTTCTAGTTATTATATAAGGCTAGTGATCTCCCCGTTATTAGTTGGCTCTTCCGGTACTGGAGCGTCTGCATCCCGGACTTCCGTATCCTTAGGCTGGATTGATCCGGCTTTACTACTACTACTATTAGACTCGTCGTCGCTAGACGATCTAACCTCTTCTTCTGGCTCGGTATCTGGAAGGACCGTATCCTCTCTAGGTATAGCCAGGTTATCGTATATATAAAAGTACTCTATTTAATTAATATCAAGGGTCTTAGAGAAAGTAAAAGCAAGCAACGTATTACAAACCGCTCGACTATATAGGTCAAGGTTATATCGTATATAGGTACTAGGGGTCTAAGAAGTAGATGTAAAGAATGAATAAAGGGCAAGCTCCTATTATACGGGTAATATAGTCAAACTGGGTTTGCTACTTAAAGTATATGAGTATAGAGAATATATATTGCTTGCTTGAGGAACTAAGCAAGCTCTATCTAAGACCGTGGCTACGGTCATCGTATATATCTATCTGAGGGAACCAATCAATAATGTCCCTTACTTACGAGGGGCCGTACTTCGGGACCCCGGGACCACGTACAGAGCTCCGTTGTCCCGGGCCTCCAGAGGTCGGGACCCTGGGACACTCCTGATTGGTCAATACCAAAAAGTGACTGCCCCACCCTTGTGCATTTCTTCAGGGATTCGTAACATTCTTATCCCGGTATCCCGAAAGAAATACTCGGGGTGCTGGGATACTCCTAATTAGTCAATACCAAATAGAGGGTGCCCTATTACTATATATTTCTCTAGGGATTCGTAATATAATGCCCCTCCTCCGAGGTTAGCGCCCCGATAACTAACGCCTCCCGTTAGTTTCGTCGTTTCTCCTCTTATAGGCATTTTTCCTCCTTTTATTACGCTAATCATAATGGCTAACCGCGTAGGAAAGACTCGTTGCGCCTAACGTAAGCTCGATTCTAATTCCTCCTTATCCGCCTTTATATATGCGTACGGCTTTCCGTCCCTAATACCCTATACTAACTGCTATCGCTACGACCGTAAGTGCGTTATCGCGGAGCGCTCGAAGCGTTATTACGAGTATATTAATCGTAAGGTATAATATAGCGGAAACGATTTTGCTTTAGCCCTATAGAACTGCGTTCCTGTATAGGCCTGAACTCAGCACCTATACAGGGTGCGCAGGGCAGCAGGCGCAGCGGAAGCAAGGCGTGTAGCGTATATCGGGAACCAAGTGCAGGGTAGGTCGATCAAGTGCAGGGTAGACTGTAGGGAACTGTGCCCTACGGTCCGATACAACAGTGCTTCTGCAAGGCACTGAGGGAAGCAGGCTGACTGACTACAGGTCTGTAGAACTCTGCTACAGGCCTGCCACTCAGACTGTGAAGACTCTGCTCAGCAGTCTACCTCGTAGGCTGTAGGGGACTCTGCCCTACAGTCAGGGTCTTCGGGACTAACTGTGGGTGCTGAAGAAGACGGAGAGGAGTTATATTATAGAAGAAGTATAGTACAAAGAGTGGTGAGTATAATACTTGCTTATTGCTTTCTTTTATACTCATAATAAGAGGCTTGCTTGCTTTTTGAAGGAAATCTATCTAAGGGAAAGGACAGGTCTATATAGACCTAAAGTGGGCTCTCTAGAAGGTTCTAGAGACCCACAGGCTCCGTAGACAGCTCTGTATTCTACAGTCTTCTAGTGGGCTTGTCTTACGTATGCCAAGACGTATAGGGGTTTCGAGAGGGTGCTGTAGGGCAAAGTAAACAATCTAGGTATAGCGCCCTCAGCACCACACAATAGCCACAACACTCACAACTCCAACACAGCTACTGTAGTGCCCTATACTTCAGGACCCTACAACCCTAGTAACTAGCCGTACTTTAATAATAGTTAAGTTCGAAAAGAATAACCCGCTACCCGCTCCTTCCGAGTCGGCTTCCGCGACTCTCCCTTCCTTCGATCGTACCCTACTAGGCATTTCTTCGCCTATACCTTCCTTCCTTAACTAGACCGGCGATATACCCTAATTAATTAAGTCCCCGTAGGTACCTACCGCGAGCTCTACGACTAGGCCTCAATATAGCGCGTTATACGGAGTAGTTCTTAATAATTGAGTAGGGTTGCTAATCTAGCGGTATAACGCGTCGTTTCTTTCGATAATTATTTCTCTATATAGGCCAAGCTCCCGAGAGATAGTTAGATCCTAGCGTGAGGTCGTAGGTTCGAATCCTACGCGATTTATTATTTTTGTATTTTTTCTAGAACGTTCTTAACGCCCCGGAGCTACCTATATAAGCTCCCTAGGCCGGTCTGGATTTTATTAGTAGAATTCTTAGATCTTGTCCGGGTAGCTTAAAAATAAAACTAGTTCTTATAAGTTCTCCTTATTCTTATAATTAAGCTATTTAATTAGGTATTAGAGCTCTCCTTTTATAATACGAGAGTCCAGAACCTACTTAACGTCGTATTCTTCCTTAAAGTCCTCGACTTCGATATCTTAAGCTAGCCGCGCGTTTCTCGGCGTTAGTTTAAAAAGTAAAATATAAAAGATATTCGTCCTTAGCTTTATCGTACTAGGTAAGGATAATATATAGTTAAATATTACGATCTTCTTCTTAACCTTAAACGGTCTAATCCTCTTAAAGCCTAGCTTCTTACTTAGCTATTTTATCGTTAAAAATTTCATTAAAAGAAAAACCTTATCCCCCTCCTCTAAGCGAGGTCCCTCGAGCCTATATTTATTATAATACGTCTTTATATACTAGCGTACTTGTTAAAGTATGGCTAGTTACTAGGGTTATAGGGTCCTAAAGTACAGGGCACTACAGTAGCTATATTAGAGTTATGAGTATTATGGCTGTTGTATGGTGCTGAGGGCGCCATTATCACGGTACAGTAGACCTGAAGGAGGCAGGGCTGCGGTATTGATCGCTGTATTCGTAGAATCTAAGTTGTAGAAGGAAGAGAGCTATCTAGGACCCCGCGGGGCAAGGAAGTAAGGTGTGGTGCGGGCCACGTGCTTGCCAAGCCATGGTCCCCACTTATAATCAGGATGCGCCCAATCAGGGTGCATCAGCCATTTGCCACCTTGTCAGGCCATGCCGTGACACTACCCCCGGGCGGAAAAAGCTTCGTCCCGAAGCTTACCTCAGCATCAGAAAAAATCGATTCTTCGGAGTTGACGAACACGTCGGAAATGAACGATTCAGCGCGATTGACGCAGTCTTCGCTCAGCGACAGGGCTGCGGTAAGACTGTCCGGGAAAACGGTCGGGCCGACCGGATCAATTGGCGGACCGGTCCGATTACTCAGACAGGTCGTTGATGAACTCGCGATCGATATCGCGCTTCCAAGCCTTCAACTCAGCCAAGGTCAGGTACTCGCGACCTCCAGGGGCTATGTTGTTATTATTATTGTTATCATTAACAGGCTCGAAGGGCTTGACTGCCAAGTCAAGGCCGGAAAGCTCATTCAGCTCCATCGGGGTTGAATGGTTGTTTGTGTGGTTGTTGGATTGACCACCGTTGTAACTGCCGGGGCTTCCAAGCTTCTGAAGCAAAGTGACGAAGCCGTTGTAGTCAGTCGGTACGATGATTTGGTGATCGAGGCGGGCACGCGTACGCGCATTGAGTCCCTTGCGCAACAAAGCGATCTTGGCTGAATCAGACCACAAGTTGGCTTTCGCTTTGTACAACAAGCGCTCGAACTTGGCCAGGTAGGTTGTGAGGCTGTCATCACCCTGCTTGGTGTACTGGAGCTTGTCTTCAGCGATCTGGACTTTGTTCGGGTCGTCATGCAGGCGTTGCAATTGATCAATGAGGGCAGCCGGGTCGTAGAAGGCATCGTCTTCGGCCTGGCTGAGTTGAGGCATCACCAGGGCTTGGATCTTTGGCTCCAAGCGATCGTAGATGTAGAAGAATTGGGCCTCGCCGTCACCGATTGATTCGCCGTCAATACGAAGCTTAGCACGAATAGCGGGATGCCACTGCTCCCAGGCCATTTCAGTGCCGTTGAACTTGACAGGGTCAGGAAGACTGGGCTTCGGTCGCGATCGATGGGAGCGGGCAGTGACGAGCTCAGTCATGGTGTTGAGGCTACCATTCGCGGTCGCTAGGGCGAGTTCCAGGCCAGCGATGCGGGTGTTGTGCTCTTCAATGATGTTTTGCATCTGAGCGATCTGGTTGTCGTGATTCATCTTGACTGGTCCGATTGATCAGAGCGATAGGGAAAAGGAAAAGGAAGGTCGGAGAAGGAAGGTCGGAAAAGGTCGACGGTCGGGCTTCCTGGCTGGGCGATTACTTTCGGAGCGCCTGCTTTAATAACACACGGAGCGACAAGCTCAACGCCTTCGTAAATGAAGCTCGATACCTTCGTCGCGAAGCGCACGATGACTTCGTAATGAAGGGTGTAGCAGGACCCTACTTTCATACACTCCCGAACAAAATCAGGTCCTAGGTCGATGGTCGGATCGGAGCGGCGAATACGCACAACACAGTCGCAACTGTCATGCGTATGCGGGTCCTTTCCAAAGAGAAGAAGAATAGGATCCCCGGCTGGTTAGGCCGTAGAAACGAACTTAGATTATCACGGTACAGTAGACCTGAAGGAGGCAGGGCTGCGGTATTGATCGCTGTATTCGTAGAATCTAAGTTGTAGAAGGAAGAGAGCTATCTAGGACCCCGCGGGGCAAGGAAGTAAGGTGTGGTGCGGGCCACGTGCTTGCCAAGCCATGGTCCCCACTTATAATCAGGATGCGCCCAATCAGGGTGCATCAGCCATTTGCCACCTTGTCAGGCCATGCCGTGACAGCCATACCTAGATTGTTTACTTTGCCCCACAGCACCCTCTCGAAACCCCTATACGTCTTGGCATACGTAAGACAAGCCCACTAGAAGACTGTAGAATACAGAGCTGTCTACGGAGCCTGTGGGTCTCTAGAACCTTCTAGAGAGCCCACCTTAGGTCTATATAGACCTGTCCTTTCCCTTAGATAGATTTCTTTCTCAAGTAAGCAAGCCTCTTGTTATGAGTATAAAAGAAAGCAACAAGCAAGCACTACACTCACCACTCTTTGTACTATACTTCTTCCATAATACAACTCCTCTCCGTCTTCTTTAGTACCCACAGTTGGTCCCGAAGACCCTGACTGTAGGGCAGAGTCCCCTACAGCCTACGAGGTAGACTGCTGAGCAGAGTCCTCACAGTCTGAGTGGCAGGCCTGTAGCAGAGTTCTACAGACCTGTCGTCAGTCAGCCTACTTCCCTCAGTGCCTTGCAGAAGCACTGTTGTATCGGACCGTAGGGCACAGTTCCCTACAGTCTACCCTGCACTTGATCGACCTACCCTGCACTTGGTTCCCGATATACGCTACACGCCTTGCTTCCGCTGCACCTGTCACAACACTGTGCACCCTGTATAGGTGCTGAGTTCAGGCCTATACAGGAACGCAGTTTAACAATCGTCATCCTGCTTAATAAGCTATAGTTAGTTCTAAAGACGACTAGGTATGGCTAGTATATGAGGCTGGCGGCGGGCTCTTCTTATAGGCGGCCCTCTCGGCTTTGGTGGTTATTTATCATAACTCCCTAGGTGATCAAATAGATAGTAGGGGGCAAATAAAAAAGCCTCCCCCTAACCTTCACACTTTCGTATTACTCTTCTAAAACGCTACTAAATATCTGAAAGACTTTGACCCGGGGGTATGCCGAACTAAACAACACGCTATACATCGGGGATGTCCATCCCTATATCGAGGGATATAGAGGCGAGGATAATACGGCAGTCGGTATCTCTATTCGCGAAGTCCTTGAAGATGATCTCTTGGTCGGTTAGGCGCACATCTGTATCGTACCGGCGTATGACTTTGGCTGCAAACTGGCTTGTAAAGCCACAGGACTTTTAAAGGTATTTAAGAAGGATATACCGGGCCAGGATCAGCTTGGGCTTACTATCAATATATATGATTATTTTTTTTATCAGCCGGGCTTCGTTGGGCTTGGATCCTTCCACGAGGAAATGCAGGCGCCTAAAATCCGTAATAACCTTCCTCATCAACGGTAGTAGGATGACCGTAATCTCGGGCCTGTCGATCGATATGCGGATTATTTGGAGATTTCTCTAATCAAAGCCGGCATACTTGAGTATATACGCCTGGTTGTCCCTGTCCAGCGTTGCCGTACAGCCAAAGAATGGAATTCTCCGCGGCATCAATGCCCTCAACGTATATAGATATGTAAATTCTTCTCGGAACTCACGCCATTCGCTAATCATATGAAGTTCATCTATAGCGAAGAGTCCAAGCTTACTATAGAAATCGGGATCACGAAGGACCGCTTTGAACTTCGGGTTGACAGCTTGTTCAGGGCTTAGAAGTACATAACTATATTGGCCAGCTTTGACTTCTTTCCAAACGTTCGGGTTCTAGATAAATTAGTTAGCCTCATTTTATTCAGGGGTCAGGGGTCAGGGGTAAAAAAGGGGCTGGCCTTGAGGTGGGTGTTACTATCAATCCAGATAGGCTTCGAAGAAGGCACAGCCCTAACGATGTCATCCCTCTGGTTCTCGCCTAGCTTCGTGAGAGGGACGATTTGTACTATGGTCAGCTTCGTGATCGCCGAGAAGGCGTATAGTACAGCGCTTTTTCCGTAGCCTGTAGCTGCCACCAGTACTATATCCTTTTTCTGATGAACAAGCCGATATACTACGTCGATCTGACCCTTACGGGCTTCCCGGGCGCCTGTGATCTTACAGATCACATCTTTGATGCGGTTTCTATGCTCGTTTTCTTCTATTTCGAGGGCGCAGGAGGTCTCACGGTAGGTTGGAAGGAAAAGGTGGTTGTAAAGGGAAGAAAATTACATGCTGAGGATGCCCCGCGCGAGGGCATTCTATGTGCAAATTTTCAGATTTTTTGGCCCTGTTGTGGCTGCATACTTGGGACGAATCTGACGGGCAAAAGACGGAACCCCGCGTCGATTTTTTCGTTTGATGTTACCATCGACACTTCTACATAATATATAGACATGAAAAGTACACCAGTAGATGCGCCTGCGTCTCAGCATCTTCAGAAGCATATTTTCATTCTATCACGATATGTTGTTATGGTGTTGTTAAGGCGCAACTAATCTACATTTTTTTTATTTGTATGGGGGACGGAACCTCGCGTACGACTACCGCAACATTACGCTCTCAGACCTTTTTTTCAGGCGTTCTGAGCAATGTGGGTCCAAGTGGGTCTATCT